CACAGCAGTTAGCAAATGTCTGTGCGTGTGTGATCCTGTATAATTTAGGGATGTCAAATTTCCTGAAATTAGCTGACAACTTGGCACCTCATCCTATGGTCCAATTGCAATTATTTATGGCTACAAAATGATAAATGGGGATGTTCACAATGCTAAGGTCAAGGCTTCAAAGTGTACATTGGAGGTAGCACAGTGGCAATGTCCATTTTTTATATCCAGTTCATAGTTCATTTTAAGATTTACTCCTTAGCCATTTTTTAATAATGACCTTTAAAACACACATTTTTTTTAATAAGTTAATTTCAAGTCTGAAAATTCAGTTTAGTAGTAGATCAGTAGTGGATAGCATACAATAATTTGTGAACTATAATCTATGGTAAAGCTTTGCACTTGTTAGCCTCCAAATCTAAACTCTTGCTCAGGTGATAGTTTGTGTGTTTTACCAAGATCAACTTGCTGTCACTGGTGATCTCTCGGGTCCAAGATGTCTTAGGCCCCTCTCCTTTCTGCAGAGTCTGCTCACAGCTGATCTTGCTGTCTGTTTCCCAACGTGGAAAACTCTGAAAAGCCATTAAAACCACGAATGAATGCACAAATAAATGGACTCACGAATAAATACAATGTCATTTGTAGGGAAGGGAACTTAATGAGGGAGTGTCTAATGGAGAGAGAGCACAAAAAGGCTTTAGCAGGGTGATCACTGAGAGGTGATAACTCGTGATGCGCTCATCGTTAGTAGAGTGAAGCGCTGGCTGGGTTGCATGTGTTTGCTTTGGAAACGGCTGAACAGAGGCCATCTATGGGAAATTGGAGAGAGTAGCGGGAAGAATTAGGGAGGGACAGAGGGTCGCAAAGGGCAAGTAGGGGGAACGGAGGGAAGATGGGAAGTTGAAAGGGATTGAAAAGTGTGTGAAGGAGTGCAGTGTAGCATGATAGGCCTTCAGAGACCAAGGGAGGGGTAAAGCTGTGCTATCAGTCCAAATATGATGAAAAGCCAAATTAAACAGATTGATGTAATCTACACAGCTCCCACCCATATCTACTGTGTATTTGGTTATGTATGTGTTTGTCCATGTGTAGTCCAAGAAGAGATGAAGTGCATTTAGTAATATATTCATGTCCATATTTTTGTGTACCGTGCAGGGACGTCCATCCACAGTGGACTCATTGAACTCCTGCCCAACAGTGAAGGTGATGTGGGTGGTTCGGACTGTGGTCGATGTTTTAATAGAGAGCGTTTCTCCATCCTGAGTAATCTCCACCAGGGGCTTGGAGGCTGCCTTCACTGCAATCTTGCGTAGCATCACGTTCACACCTACACAAACAAGCAACAGAAAATGCGAAAGAACATGTGTGAGAAGAGATTTCCAGAAAAGACAACAAATAATGACAAAAAAACATAGTGACAATGATCTTACACAGCTAAATGTGGTGCCTTAAATTAACACTACTGCTTCCACTAAAACTAAAAATATTCCCTGGGACATTGGTAAACTCAGTTCATGGAGATGGATCTTTTTTTCCCCCCTGTGCTTGTGTATTAGAGTGTAAACAAAAACACAAGCAAACAAAGACAAGCAAGCCCTGTATCGGCTTGCTGTGTGGTTGTGTTTGAGTGTTGTTGTGTTGCTGCTTATCTGCAATGTCTTTCTGCACACACGGGGCAAAATTTGGAGCAGACTTGAAATGCACAGTGCTTTCCAATAATGATTGCACAGGAAACAATGAGGTCATATGACAAATCATGCCTCAATCCCCGTCCACAGACTTAATCATCGTTGCGTCCATGCAAACACACGCTTACTGACTTTAACACTCACACCGTGATTGCGTTTTGCACTTCCTGAAGTGTAATCTCAGTTATTCCCCTTTTTTCTGTTTCTAGGGAAAAAGCATAACTCATTCAATATTTTGTGTGACTGTAAAAGGCTTCTCCATACGAGGGCAGTTTGTGGTATGTTGGTCATCTGTATTTCACAATGATTTCACGAAAGTGTGACCAGAACAGCACTCCCAAGAAAAAGACAAGTCACGTAAAATCTAACTAATGTTAGTGTTTGTTAACTTTAGCCACATTTCTAAACTAATCTGCAGTATTATTTTTAATAAAATTAATTTCCCCAGCCTTTTTTCCCACTGAAATGTGCTTAAAAGTTTTTAAAAAATGTGAAGGAGGAAAAGGTTTGTCTGATAGTGATTATCTGAAAAGGGGAAGGAGGGAAAAAATGATGTTTCCCCGTGGGAAAAGAGAGGGAACAAGGAGAAGATCAGTGTGGGGGAGGGAGGTTGGGGGCCTGGGCAGACGAGGGGCAGCGGTCTGTGTGTGGTGTGCGAAGATCTCTGTCCAAGTGTGAGGGGAAGTGTGTGTATGCCGCCCAGTGTGTATCTGCTGCGAGTTGGGTTTCACACTTCTCACCTCTCACACATTCCCACCTGTCACCAAGTGTAAATATATACAGAGAGAAATGCACAGTCATTTGCCATGCATTGGGTTGTCCAGCCTATGCCCTGTGTATAATTTGTATGCACTGTACAAGCAGCTTCATATATATAAATGCATTGTGAGCTTGTGGTGTGCAGATGAATGTCCACTCATTGGAAAGACATTATTTTGCAGGAATTACTTGCACCTTTTTTTGCTCCAGGTAATTATTAATACTTCCAAGTACTTAAATATTATGTTATGCTAATAATTCTCAACATTTCAGGGGGCATTTGCAGTATGTGTGTGTTTACATTGTGGAACGACTTGCTTTATTTAATTTGGTTATATAAATAGTTTTTGCACCCCTCCATGCTGTGACGAGGTGGCAAAAGTTTGAAAATGTGATTATTTATTTACTTTTTATTATTGTAAATCACTGCACATCATAGCTGCTACTGTGCATTTATACATGTGCTTTATAGCTTTACTCACAATGTAGCCTATTTTCACTTTTCCCCCCCCACAGATACCATATGTATCCTTGTGCACGACCAAGGATAAAAGCCTAGAAGTGAAAATGTGGCCCCCATTGGTTTTTTGGCTTAGACGCTGCTGGCCTGCCAAAACCTTTGGAAGCCACAGAGGGATACGAAGGTTCTCAAGGTATTCCCCGCTGTTAATTTTTGTGACCGAAATTCGTTAATTCACACAGGTTTCACCACTGGGGGACAAACACAATTTCAGACAGACGGTCAGGGTCAGAGGTCAAAGATCATAGGGCAGAGGAAGCATTTGGGACATGGAGAGACGAGGGTAGAGGGAGGAGAGCTGGAATGAGGAAAGGAAGAGAGGATAGATGGAGGGAATAGGGTAGTAGGTGATGACAGTATGCATCCAGCTGTGCTTTGCCTCCAATGAAACCAGGGATCAGAGCCCATTCCCCTCTGTTAGTCATCGCAACGTAGAGGTAAATTAAAGGAACACACGCAGTCATGGGTGTGGATGTGTGCGTGTGTGTGGTAGTTACACAGCATTCCTGCTGTTGGAATGTTGTCTTATAATAATAACAAGAGATAAAATAATTCTTTTGAAAACACTTTACAAAGTGCACAAAGCAGGCGCATCGCAAGAACAATGCATTTTAGAACATATGCTAAAACCATTCAAGGAGAAATAAAAGAAAAAGAAGAGTATTTAAAAAAATCAGGTGATGAAAGTATATCTTAAGAGGAGCTTTAAAGGTTGCTACATCTCTTGATCTCTCTTTTTATCGAAAAGTCATAGAAACGTCCTTTTAGACAGACAGTATACGCATAAAATATCCTGTCCTCGCATTATTGCGCACGGTGCCATATTTGCCTTTGGACAGAATAATCTGGATCAAACAGACGTTAAAACTAACTGGTGGTCTTTCATTTGTGTAGTGGTGGTATGGGATTCATGTAGTTCAGTTACCTCTATATGTGTAGGTAGCTAAGAGACTAAGATAAAGGCGGTGTTGTTGGCGCTTTGCGATAAAACGGATTCCAGGTGTGCACTGCCAAGTCATCTAATGAAAATTGGCTGCTAACGACAGATGCGCGCCTGTAGTGCGCCCTACAGGCGCGCTCACGCACACACTGGCCGGTTTGCAAATGAGCCAGACAAAAAAACAGCGTGGATCTCAGCAGCAGGTATTTGTTCTTCTCTCGGACTGTCACTTCGGATAACGATGCCACTGTCCTGCACTGTATTGTGTCATAACGGTCCTCTTTAAAAACACACGCAAACAATCTGAGGTTGAGACACAGACAGATGTGTCGCCGTTTGTCTCTATTGTGTTAGCAGGGGAGGCCAAAAGGGGAGATGAGAGAGGATAAAAAAGAGAGGGGGGGCTGGCTTTGGGCCAAGAACGGAGTTTGGGGTTCTGCAGCAGAATGACAAAGACCCCCCCCCACCCATGCAGTACGCTGGTGCACGGACGCAGAGGTAGACTCACAATGTGCTGAGAAAGCTACAGTTTGAGCTGACACATCTGATCTGTCTCTATGAACAGAACTAAAAGCTTCATCAGGAACCACTGACGCATAAAAACGTTCAAACTGCTACTTACAGTGATGATGATTTAAGAAAAAAAAAACCTTGCTTCACATTACTTACCTAACACTTTCAAGAGTTCCTCAAAATTTTCAGAGCTCTTCATCTCCCAAGTGCCGGAGAAATCTGGGATTTTGCGCTCCATGTTCGGCGATAGTTTGCTTAGTGGTGTGGACTAGATAAGCTGTCAGGTCCTGGGCTGCAGTCAGTGCGCGTCTGTGCGTCAAAAAATGAACAAGTTGTGTGTGCGCCAGATGGCTTGGATCTGTCCGTGACTTGGTTTTGCCTTCTTCCCGGGATGAGAGACCTACTGACAGCAGCTCTTATCTCATCTGTCTAGCAGTGCACGTTATAAGCATTTGCACTTCAAATGAATGACACGGAGCGCTTGTGTAGGGATGCACACGCCCCTTTCTGAACGGACACGCCCCGGAGGCCAACAGATTACAGGCACAGGCCCACAGTGCTTTAACCTGAGAACACCCCAGCAAGCACTCTGTGGCCAGGAAGACGCCGTTTGGAGACCCCTCTCATCCACACGCGCACCTGTCACCACCCAAACTAACCATTCCCCGAAACTCCCGCGTGCTCTGTTTATTAGGTGTTTAGCCACTTACTTTAGGCATTAACTACATATTACCATCAATATTGTCATTGCAAAACAGAAAGGATGTAACCAGGTCAGTATATTGACAGAACATGTCGTCTTGGCAGGGCGGCGCAAAGGAAGAACAAGTCAACTGCCAGCCTGAAGAGATGGCGGAGCGGTTTGTGTGGGTGTGTGATGAGAGCGAGAGAGAGAGAGAGAAAGAGAGAGTGAGAGAGGGGCCAAGTTCATCTCCCAGCCTCCAGTACGTCCTGGTTCTGTGTCATAAAAATATAAGCAGTGGTAATGGGATACATCTAACGGCTGCAACTGGTGGGCTAGCCTGCGTCAGAGGAAAAAACAACCCGAACCCATGAGGGAAATATATTACGTGGGGCTGGGATTAAAAATAAGAGGTGGTATTGGCGCAGGTCAGCGGTGGCTCTCCTTATTAAAGTTTTTCGCCCCCCGCTGGCGGAAGAAAGAGGAGGGGAGGAGACGCGTCAGGCGGGGTCAGGGGCCCTGCGGGGTCGGAAGGTAGTCCTATAAAGAACACACGGAAATGCACACACACACACACACACACCGTATGTATGCGCGCTCACGCACGCGCTGATGATGGATGGCAACTGGACAAAGCAGACGTTAACTATTGACTCTTGATGGATGATCCCATCCGCTACACTGCACGGTGAATTAGCGCGAGGTAACCCGGGCGACTTTAAGGCGCGGGCATTAGCCCGCCGCCCCCGCCCCGGCTTAGGATATAAGCTTCACGCACACACCGGCTCAGTGTCAGTGTTATAACAAAGACACAGTGACTAACAGAGGTGAATAACAGTGTCAGATTGATATTTGGTAACCTGATATGCGCTTTTGCGCACAGCCCTG